TCATATCATATTTTTATAACCTTCTTGTAGTTAGTTACTTTATGTTAATAAACAATTACTTGTTTGTCAATTTCCATTCCATTAATTTATTCATATTTATTTATAATAGTCAATTGCTAATCAATATTGTCAACGACGGGAGTGTCAAGTTCGTATATTAATTCGATCGCAATAATACCGATGCCACCGCTTAGGCTCATCCCAGTTGCGTAGCTTCACATTCGGATTCATTTCTATTAGCGCTTGAAATTAGACCAAGAAATCAAGTGCCTAGAATCGGTAGATATTATAGAGCGTGATAGCGTACCTTGGATTTCTCCGGTGGTTATCGTCCATAAAATATCTGCGGTGAAAAGAATGTAAAGGATGGGACCCAAGACGCTGCCCTGCGGCACATCCGGCTCAATAACAGTCGGATAATTCAGTACCACAGCGAACTTGAAACGAGCTGTCAGAGAGGTATGATCGGAGTATTAGATATAAGAACTGTGGTAGATGGAATTTAAGAGTCAAAGGCCTGAGGTATGTCCAGAAATGCACCCGAACAATATAGCTTCTTTACTAGGACTTAGTATATGTGGTCAATAACTCGGAGTCCTTGTTGGACAGTGGAGTGTTGGGAACGAAATCTGAATTGATGCGTAGGAATTTTGTGGGATTCTATTATGGATAGGGTTCTTTTCAGTTGGAACTTTTGAAAATTTTTTGATAGGATTCAGAGTAGGCCAATTGGTCTATATAGGATGATGTATTGTTGACAGGTTTGCCTGGTTTCAGGAAAAGTACGATGGTGGGATGTTTCCGTAGGAGTGGAATGTGGTTAGTTCTTAAAATGCAATTATAAATATATGTAAGGAAAATGATAGCTTTGGGTTGAAGTTGTCGAAGGATCTGTGGGGTTAGGAAGTCGTCTCTAGTAGTTTTACGAACAGGGATATTGCTTAAAAGATATTTGACCTCTGATGGATTAGCTGCTTTAGGTGTAAGGAGAGTGGAATCGGTGAACAGAGGAATTCTTCTACTTTTGCGGTATGGGTTGGATGGGATTATGGATGAGGAGTGAATGTACTGGAGAGGTGTCTAGCGATTTCCTCAGCTTTGTCTTCATCAGGCGCTGCCCAGGAGCAATTGGCTCGATGGAGAGAATGTGAAATGTAATGGGATTTTAGGAGTTTTTCCAGAGGGAATTGTCATGAACAGAAAGAGAAGTGAGGTAGGAATCATAACATTAGGATCTGAAAGATGATAATTCTTGCTTTAATAGTTTACAATAATAATGGTGGAAGCGGCGATCGATGGGATGTTTGGTACGTTGCCATTATATTCTGGCACGGCGTTTGGTGTGGATTAGGTCTATGAGGTAAACTTTTTTTCTTAAGAGTTCTTGAGGAATGATTTTGAGTGAAAGCTGTCCATACTTCTTGTTGAATGGTGGTGGTGAAAGAATGGACGGTATTGTCAAGGTCTTCTGGGATTTTCTGAGTTCAATTTTATCAGAAAGAAACTGATGGAAGAGTTTCCAGTTAACTAGGCCTTTGATGAAGGACGTTGGAGAGCGTTTAAGAATAGAGGCTAGATATAATTGTAGTATTAGTGGATTATGATCTGAGGAAAACTCATCTAGTCGGGTAAGGGAATGATTATTGATCAGGCGCTGCCCAGGAGCCATCGCATCGATGTAGAGAATGTGAAATGTAATGGAATTTTAGGAGTTTTTCCAGAGGGAATTGTCATTGGGGGCGGTGTGGCCGAATGGGATAAAGCGTGTGCACTGCACCGCGAGTTGCCTGGCAACTGGATAAGAGATTTGAGAAGATTAAAAAAGTATGAGTGCGCATCCCGGTGCTGGAGGGGATTTTGAATTCCCCGCCCTCACCCTCCGGCCCAGGAAAATCCCGTATAGCCTAAAAGGCGAGGTAGGGAAGAACTAAAAAAAAAAAAAAAAAAGTGATTGTCATGAACAGAAAGAAAAGTGAGGTAGGAATCAAAACATCAGGATCTTAAAGATGATACGGGAGGATTAATAGAGAGGATTTGGCGGAAAAGGTCTCAGCTGAAACTTTGGGAATTGAGTGCAAACAGCAGGGATCTAACACGAGAATTCGTGGTTCTTGAACCCAATTCTTGATGATTGGCGTTTAAGTCTGCACCCAGGATGAAGTGATGCCCTCAGGAGTTAATGAGAAAACTGAACTGGTCATTGGATATCGATCAGTTAGGAGGGCTATACGCTGATGCAAGGGTAACTGGAAAGGAGAAGATTTTTATTACGATAGCAGTGGATCGGAGAAAATCTTGGGTAGTTGATGGGAAGTAGGTGATGGGAGAGGGATTGGTGTACAATTACAACAGTACCGGCATTTGCTCTTCAGTCGGGGTGGTCAGTACAATGTGTCAGGGATTGTGGTATTTTGAAGAACTGTTTAGTGGTTATTCGAGTTAACGTAATTTGTTCCACTTCAATATTCTTGTCAAGTAATAATACAGATAGTCTGTATGATTTCTAACACCATTCGCATTCCAAAGGAATGAATATAGGTTTATTGGAAATCATATAAGGATTTATTGGGAGAGGGATAAAATGTGATAAAAGATTGGTGAGAAGGGACATCAAAGGAGTTACAAGAGATCTGAATTTGGAGAGAAAAATGTAAGTAAACTGGTGAGATCTGTGGTGTTTGATGGGGAATGAATGTGAGGAATTTGGTGTAGTTAGAATTGTTGAGGATTTTTATTAGCCGTAGGATAATTTTAAGATCATTTTAATGATAAATTGAGCGGTAGGATGTTGAGGGTGGGGTTGAGAAATTGGATGTGTATATTTTTGTTACGGCAGAGTCTCACAATGAGTAATTTCGTTCTTACCTAATAGGTCTGTAAAAGACACCATCGGGTCTATGATTTGGAAGGTTCTTTTCTTGATACGGATCTTTCAGTTTCTTTTTGGTATTTCTGATATCTGAATTTGATGCTCTTGTATATCTAGCAGCCTTTGTAGTTCGCCGGATGTTCTTCTTAGTATAAAGCACAAACTGCAGGCTCTTGTTTTGGTTTTGTGCCTATTATTAGTTTTGTATTTTTCACCACATTTTACATAAAGCGGCAAATAATGGCAATAGGTCTTCCTGTGGCCATACGCCTGGCAATTGTGGCACTGGACGATATTCCTCCTAGTAAACGGCTTCCCCTCTTTTACATTTGTGTATTGCAATATTGTTATTTCGTACATTTTATAGTTCCCTGGAGTCAGTTCTGAGTCTATAAAAAATAGGGTTAGAGGAACTTTTACTCGTGGCTGTTCCTTACTATCCTTAGAACATTTGTTACCAGTATGTTTTCAGGTTTCTTCTTCTATTGTTTCAGTTGCTGTTGAGGGATGTAGGTTTTTTATAACTACTCTTAAAGCTCGCTCCTGCCGCAATTGATGAGTGTGAAAATCTGCTTTGATCTCTGTTAAATACTTCACAATTTATCAACTGCACTCATAGTGTAGTGGCCAGCATACTATTCTAATATGGTGAAGGTTCCCGGTTCAGTACCGGTTCCACTCTGTATCTTTAGGGGGCGGAGTGGCCGAACGGGCTAACGTATGTGCACAGCACAGCCTTTGTTCGGCAACCACATACATATGATAACTGTATAGTCAAAAAAATAGTCACTAGTTCGCGTCCTGGTGCCTTGGGGAGTCTTTAAAATCCTCGCTTTCACCCACTGGTCTGGGAAAATCCCATATAGCCTTAAACGGACAGGAGGGGGAGGAAACCAAAAAAAAAAATTGCCTTATAATTTTTATATATATTTCTGTAGTTCTCAGCCGTATACGGTGATACTTTAGTGTCATTGGTTCTGCATGGACATGAGTAGCTTCCGGAGCCTCCTATTTTGTTTAGTTGGAAACATAGTAACTGAGAATGTTTTATGTTCTTAACTAATATCGGGGAAGGTCGGGGTTCTCTTGGTATCGGTGCGGACTTACCTGTCTGTCATTCTGAAGCACCTGATAGGGGTTGAGTGTACAAAAAAAGGAGATTCTTCAGTTGTCTCTTGAGATGATGAACCTGGTTGAGGCTGAGGTTGTTCAATGTTCTCTTTTGGTGATGTGCCTAGCTGAATTTCATGTTCTTCGGAGCTAACAGGTGTCATCAGTGGTGTTAGGTAGTGATTTAAGAGGCTTTTGTTTGCCCGGAGAAGATAGAGATGTCGATCCTAACGACGTAGTTCTCTTATTAGCCACCCTACTAGTTATGACCATGGTAATAAAAAGAAAAAAAATCTATATGCTGATAGCTGCACACAGTAAATATCGACTTTCTGGTGTATTCTTGACCTGTTTTAAATTAATAATAACAGTGATTCTCCTGAAGAAGCAGTAAATAATGAGAGCTGGGTTAGAAACACAATCTTGCACCTGATTGTGATCTGATCGATCAGCTGTGTTTTTCAGATTAAATACAATAATTTCATTAGGGCATGTTGTGACAATAATGTAAATTCAGAATAAGAAAAAATTAGTATGGAAAGGAGCTCTTCAAGGTAGATCTAAATAGATATAATTTCGTGTTCAGCTACTACATGTTATCCTAAAATACATCGAATTTCTTGTTTACGTGTAAAAATAATTTCTATATAAAGTTCTTATCTTTTGTATGTTCTCTTTTTATTTAGTATATAATGTTTCTTTGTTGACTAAATAAGGACTATAATATCCCCCAAATATGTAAAATAAAGGATGCTTTATTTGCATGAAAACTATTAAACCCAAAATAAACTATCAATATTAGGTAAGATGGGGAGGGAGGGGTCGGTGAGCTGTGGGAAGGGATGGAGTTATTCTCAGGAATTAAACATAGGTACGCAGGGCGGTGCGGGGTCAGTGAAATGGTGAATTGGTGCGCCGTTTTGGACGAGGCCCAAGTCCAAGAAGGTTTTACTCACTTTAATTTGCCTTTATCAATTGTATAAGATGTTTCTTACTAACCTTACAAATTAAATTTTAAAATGCAATTAGTAACAATTTTGAAAAATAGTTTATTAAATTTAACAATACGGACAATACATGGATTTAACAATACAATCATCAAGCTAGTCTTGATACTTGCTTTTCCATACTTTAGTCATCTTTTCAACATATCTTTTATTTCTTCGCAATTCATTGGCTTGTGCTTGAGTATCTCTTTTGAACATTTGCCATTCTGGATTGTTTTCTTTACCCCTTTTAGCTTTTATTTCCGCCTGCTCGCAAGTCTGATCTATCCAAGTCGCCCACTTTTCAGCGAGATTGACAACGCCTGCTGACCATTTAGCCCACTCTTTCATCTCCTTAGCGGTTTTAGTATGGCCACGATTGGGAGGCGTCTTACAAATGGAATCCGAAATTATGGCTATTCTTTCATATTGCGCTGACCTCGCCGCGGCACACGCTTTCCCTTCGCTAATTTTCTTAACGCTGTAATAGCAACAATCGTCTTTAGATCGCGTGATATAATAAACGGTCTTAGCCTCAGACGTCTCAGGCAATAATTTTGTATTTCCCTTAGTTTTGTGTTCGTAAATTCCCTCCCCAACCAGCGATTTCTCAATCGATTCTTCTAAATCTTCTGGTTCACTTTTCTCACTTATCTTTTCTTCTTCATAATCGCTACTCTCTTCAACAAAATCCTTACTCTCTTTGTCATAATCACTAACATATTCTTCTTCATTTTCTTCTTGTTCCTCTTCTTCTTGTTCCTCTTCTTCTTTCTTCACCTCTACTTTTTTCTTTTCTTCTTCATTTTTCTTATCCTCTTCTTCTTTCTTGTCCTCTACTTTTTTCTCATCCTCTTCTTCTTTCTTCTCTACTTTCTTTTTCTTCTCTATTTTTTTCTTTTCTTCTTCTTCTTTCTTTTCCTCTTCTTCTTTCTTCTGCTCTACTTTCTTTTTCTTCTCTATTTTTTTCTCTTCAACTTCTTCTTTCTTCTCCTCTACTTTTTTCTTTTCCTCTTTTTCTTTCTTCTCCTCTACTTTTTTTTTCTTCTCTACTTTTTTCTTCTCCTCTTTTTCTTTCTTCTGCTCTACTTTCTTTTTCAACTCTATTTTTTTCTTTTCCACTTCTTCTTTCTTGTCCTCTACTTTTTCCTTTTCCTCTTCTTCAATCGATTCTTCTAAATCTTCTGGTTCACTTTTCTCACTTATCTTTTCTTCTTCATAATCGCTACTCTCTTCTACAAAATCCTTACTCTCTTTGTCATAATCACTAACATATTCTTCTTCATTTTCTTCTTCATTTTCTTCTTGTTCCTCTTCTTCTTGTTTCTCTTCTTCTTTCTTCTCCTCTACTTTTTCCTTTTCTTCTTCTTTTTTCTTATCCTCTTCTTCTTTCTTCTCTACTTTCTTTTTCTTCTCTATTTTTTTCTTTTCCACTTCTTCTTTCTTCTCCTCTACTTTTTTTTTCTTCACTACATTCTTTTTCATCTCTATTTTTTTCTTTTCCTCTTCTTCTTTCTTGTCCTCTGTTTTTTTCTTATCCTCTTCTTCTTTCTTTGGTCCTTCCTTTTTCTTTGGTTCTTTCTTTGGTTCTTCCTTTTTCTTTGGTTCTTTCTTTTTCTTTGGTTCTTTCTTTTTCTTTGGTTCTTTCTTTTTCTTCTCTACTTTCTTTTTCTTCTCTATTTTTTTCTTTTCTACTTTCTTTTTCTTCTTTATTTTTTTCTTTTCCACTTCTTCTTTCTTCTCCTCTACTTTTTTTTTCTTCACTACTTTTTTTTTCTTCTCTACTTTTTTCTTTTCCTCTTCTTTCTTCTCCTCTACTTTTTTTTTCTTCACTACTTTTGTTTTCTTCTCTACTTTTTTCTTTTCCTCTTCTTTCTTCTCCTCTACTTTTTTTTTCTTCACTACTTTTTTTTTCTTCTCCCCTTTTTTCTTTTCCCCTTCTTCTTTCTTCTCCTCTACTTTTTTTTTCTTCGCTACTTTTTTCTTTTCCTCTTCTTCTTTCTTCTGTACTTTTTTTTTCTTCTTAACAACTTTTTTCTTTTTTACTTCCTTTTTATTTTTGTCTTCTTTTTTCTCTTTCTCTATTTTTTTCTTAACATATTTTGCCTTAACTTTTTTCTGTTTCATTTGTTTTGGTTCTTCCTTTTTCTTTGGTTCTTCCTTTTTCTTTGGTTCTTTCTTTTTCTTTGGTTCTTCTTTTTGTTTTGGTTCTTTCTCTTTCTTTGGTTCTTCCTTCTTCTTTGGTTCTTTCTTTTTCTTTGGTTCTTCCTCTTTCTTTGGTTCTTCCTTCTTCTTTGGTTCTTTCTTTTTCTTTGGTTCTTTCTTTTTCTTTGGTTCTTTCTTTTTCTTTGGTTCTTCTTTTTGTTTTGGTTCTTCCTTTTTCTTTGGTTCTTCCTTTTTCTTTGGTTCTTCCTCTTTCTTTGGTTCTTCCTTCTTCTTTGGTTCTTTCTTTTTCTTTGGTTCTTTCTTTTTCTTTGGTTCTTTCTTTTTCTTTGGTTCTCCCTTTTTCTTTGGTTTCTTTATTGTGTTTTTTTTATGTTTGGCTTTTCTTTCAATCTTCATTTTTTTCATAAACTGAGATTTCTCAATAAAATCTTTACATATATCTTCATCCGTCTCCGCCATTATATCTGCTAACCATATAGCAATTCTGTCGGCAACATACACTTGAATTCGCTGTAATCTATTTCGCGGGTTATTCAAGTTACAGTGCTCCTCGGTCAAATCACAAAAATGTTTAAGTAATGTTTCAGCGATATAGTGAGTTCTCTTAGTACGCCTTGCGGGCATTACCGTTGCTAAGTAGTCTATGACTTTCGAGGTGATTATTCGTTTATATTCTTTCAACCAATCATCCTTTGCCTTGACATTTACGGAGCCACCACTTTTTTTTCTTGGACCTCTTAAATCTTTTGTTAATCTGTTCACTTCTCTGAAAATTAAAGTGTTTTTCTTTGGACTCAAATAGATGAAGATAATTCAATTCTAGTTAAAATTAAATATCAACTTAGTTCGTTGAAATACCATCTGTTATTACTTATTGAAAATACGCCTAATATTCCACCGTTTAAAGTCTGTGAAACTGTTTTCCTAATATAGTTTAACTTTCAAATAATTAATTGACAATACATATATGAAAAAATTCTTTTCTCACTTGATTGACCTTTTAAGACTGATTTAAGTCTTATATAATCAATGAACGATCTATATGAACTGAGCAGTTAATCATGATTAATGAATCTGGAGAAAAATTCAAGCTTTAATACCCGTGAAAGCAACTTAACTTTTATATAAATGTATTATACATTTGGCTATTATACACCTGATGTGCCCCTAGGTTTAACTTTTAGTTATACTAAATTTGGAATATACTAGCCGGTTTCTTATAAATGATTAGTAAAAAATCATGTAGATATAAGATAGTAACATACTCTTTGTTTAAACATGATTAAGTTACTAATTACTATCAGTAAAATAAGAAACGTATTAGTTAATAAATAAAAAAACTTAAAATACATTATAGAAAAAAAGATATCTCAGTTGCATTAATGATATATCTTAATGAATGAAATTAATATATTGAACAATGTTACATACTCCTTAGGTAGTTTGAATTCGTCAGCTAGTACTTCTTTTGCAGTATGAGGTGTTATCAATCTCATAACCTCCGATAAGAATTCACTGGCATACCTATGAAAAGGTTCATGTAATATATAACTTACTACACCCCTTAATATACAAGATGATCTTGATATAAAATAAGTTTTAATGTAATGATTTCTTTTTGAGCAATAAATGAATGCCCAAAAAAGGGACACTGCAAAAAATGAATTTTTAAAGCATTTACGGGCCTTTAAAGGAGAGATAAAACGAAGAATCAGGAACTTTATACCGTATGTCATAGTCTGTGGGCCAGAACCCCCTACCGCCAACCCCCCTCCTCCTCTCCCCCACATCCCTATAAATTGCATATTGTTGTGTTGCTTGTAACTATTTATTAAAAAAAAGCCAATGTTCCCACAAAAAAAGTGAACTCACTGCCCCAAAATGGCGCTCAAACATGACGGATTGACGACTTTGACTTTAGTTAGTTTTTTGGTCACTGAGAATCAGCATTTGGCTTAATTTCGTCATGTTGGTCTTTTATTAAAGCTGAATAATCAGAGAATAATAAAATATGAACAAATATCAAAAAATAATTGGCTTAGACCATAAAAACACCAGTAAAGTCAATATTTTTAACAAACAAAATCAAGTTGAAAATCCAGCGTCGTTTGTAATTGATCGGCCAACAATAACGTAAAACAAGCTGAAATAAAACATCTGGAAAATATGTTTCTCTTTCTAAAACACTGATTACTTTTTAAAATATTTGAGTCACCTGTATCTGTAGAAAATGCACTTTGTTTTGTATATTTACTGATTCTTAGAGGTAATTTAAATTGTATATACTACCCAGGAAATGAGTCATATTAATACCAGTTTTATAAACTAAAATAATATATACCTAATCTGAACTATGAATAGTTGCCGAGTTGTTTAGTGAAACTCATATATCACTAATAAAAAAATAATTTTTATTTCCTTTATTTAGTACGGAAGTTGGATCATATCATAAATAAATAGGAAATGAATGCATTATTCTCTCTGCACAAAGAAACATGGAAAGCGCGAAGCTTTAAGTTCTTGTAGGAAATCGGAACTGATTGTAAGTATTTGGTCTCAAAATAAGGGAAAACGCGAAATTAAACCCAAAAAATACATTAAGCGAACGAGAAAAGAAGTGCAAAAATCTCGGAAAAGAAAAAAAGGGCAGCTACATTTTATGGCTAAACGAATGTATAGTAGACAGATAAACAGAATATTTCAAGATGTTGCTAAAAGGGGATCAAATGCTGGAGAAGTTTGGATGATATTAAGGGCACGATGCAGGTTTATTATGGTGAAGACCATTTTATCAGCAAGAAAGATTTGTTCGAAGCAATTGGCAAATCAGCTGGTCTGGACTGCTGCGCGTCTATCGAGGGAAATAGGGGGAATAGCTCTCCTTCTGTTTAGTGCATTTGCAAAAGATTCTTTAAGGAATCTAAAAGGAAAACGAGCATTTCTGAAACGCAATTAGATATTAGCACAATCCAAAGTGTGCGGCATTAAGCAGATAGAGAGCTATTTTTCGTTCTAGAGAGACTTCTCTATAACCTGCCTTAAATTGAAGACAGTCCCAATTCGTAACATCTTTTCCAATGTGTTACTTGAGTTTTTCAATCGATATCGCTTTAGCAATCGACAATATTTCTTATTCTAGCTTCTAAGATTCATGTGTACAGTTTCTTTGGTACACTAAACAGGGATGATTTAGTACACTAAACAAGGAATGGGTATTACATTTCCTAGTATCTCCTTTCTTGTAAAGGTACAAAACTACAGTCCTTTCATACCATTTTCAAGTACATTTGTTGCCTATGTACGCGCAGCAGTTCGATTTACTTCGTCCAGACCAGCTGACTTGCCAATTGCTTCGAACAAATCTTTCTTGCTGATAAAATGGGCTTCATCACAATAAACCTGCATCGTCCCCTTAATATCATCCAAACTTTTTGATCCCCTTTTAGCAACATCTTGAAATATTCTGTTCATCTGTCTACTACATTCGTTATGCCATATAATGGATACTGTCATTTTTTTCTTTTCCGAGATTTTGGCACTTCCTTTCTCGTTCACTTAATGTATTTTTCCGATTTTTGGGTCCATTTTCGCGTATTCCCTTATTTTAAGATCATATTGTATATAGTATGGTATATGTTATTTTAGTTTATAAAACAGGTATAATTATGATTCATTTCCTGGGAAGTATATACAATTTAAATTACCTCTAAGAAACAGTAAATATACCAAACAAAGTGTTAAATTGCAAACGTTAAATAAAAAATTCAAGATATTTAGCAAAGTATTTTTTAATTAAGTTTTATTACTATAATGATATCATTTTTATAATAGAGGTCTTCTTAAACCACCTCCGTATACAATAAAGGAAGTTAAATAAAGAACAATAATAATAAATTCTTTAAAAAATTGATTAATTTTTTTGACAATTAAACGATTGAATTAATATTTGTTCGTTAATAAGACCAATATCATGTACCAAAAACGTTAGATCTATAACTAAACCATTTATGTGTACTGAATGGTGTGGTAGAGGCCAGGCCAGTACTGGAGGCACCCACGCTAGTACCGTTTTTCTGCCGCTCAAGTGCATTTTATAAGGAACTGCTTAAATATTTTAAAAGTAATCAGTGTTTGAGAAATATATTCTCCAGATGACCAAAAAACTAACTGAAGTCAAAGTCGTCAATCCGCCATGTTTGGACACCATTTTGCGGCAGTGCGCTCACTTTTTTGTGGGAAAATTGGCTTTTATTTAATAAATAGTTACATGGAACACAACGATATGCAATTTATAAGGATGTGGCGATGGGGTACACGGCAGGGAGGTCTGGCTTATAATTAGGGTGTATAATTATACCTAATATAACCGTGTATAACTAAGCCTAACTGTAATTTATCTTATATGGTCCGAAAGGTTAGCTTGGATCGGAGGTAATAGCTACGCATGTTAAAGTGTTGGCCAATATGAGGTAATTCTCGCGTCTAGCTATGCCGGTTCGAATACGGCCTAGGCAGGTGGAAATTCATATCGTGATGCACCCACGGAATGACTCTCAACCTTCCACCTTTTACTCCAATAGTTAAGATAGGTTTGGTTGAACCTCTTGAACTGCCAGTATAGCGAAGTAGGGAGTGATCGAAAAAAAAAATAAGGTTAAGTTGAGCTGGACATAAGGTCAAAACATGAGAGAAAGAAATTCCAAGGAAGATACATGAAGAGTGAACAGAACTAGAAGAACGGACAGAGCTCAAATTGTGGATGGTGTGGCTGCTGATTCAAGAATCCTTCTGTACACGAGGCAATCGAAGGCGTGGCAGAATGACGCAAATGCCTAGACGAGACTTGTCCAAAATTAAAGCACCAGGTTATTGTTTAATAACCGTCGAAGCGCTCCAGCAAAGGCTCCGAAAAGATCAAGTTTACATCTTACAACTATATATAACTAAATGCCTGAGGACAACTAAATTCCTATTACAATGGAAATATCTACATATCAAAATGATACAAAAAAGAGAAAAAGACTTTTTCAATCCTTGTCCTACCGACTTATCATTCTCCTTCGGATATCTTCTAAATTTTTCAAAAAATTAATCTACAGAAAATTAGTTGGCATCCTGACGGACCTGATAATTTCTTACAATCAATTCAGTTTTCGCAGATAAGATAAAACAGCATCTAAAGATAAAAACAAAGTTGCAGTCGGGAAATATGATGCCCAATATAACCAAGATACATCGATAAACCTTCCCACGAAGTTTAACATATACAGTGCTGAATTATACACTGTCGCTGAAGCTTTCAAAATAGCCAACAGAAAATATAAAAATACAAAAGTCGTAATTCTAAAAGATTCCGCTTCCGTATGCAATTCATTCAAAAACATATTTCATTTGACCTAATAAATAATATAATAGAAGTTCATCGTTCAACAAATAACAAATTTTAGGTTCAATTTGTTTAAGGTCATGCAGGTTTATATGGGAATGAACGAGCTGATATGATAGCAAAACGGTGTTCTGGAAGAGAAAAATTACCATTAAAGGAAATTTGTAGATGGGTTAAAAAATACTTTATTAGTGAATGGCAGGATAGGTATGCCTGGGAGTCAAGATCGAAAGGTAAGGATCATTTCACTATCCAACCTGACGTATCACTACGGCCATGGTTCTCCAACAATTGTGTTAATTTAAACAGAAAAGAAATAGGCTTATTTACAAGATTAAGAATTAACTATGGTCTTACAAATCGTGGCTTGACACTAATTAAAGTTTAAAAAATAATGAATGTTTGACATGTAACTCCATCGAGGACTTATTGCAGATTATTCTAAAATGCAGCAAATATGATAAATATCGGGAAAAAATATTCCCTCATCCAAAATAATAACGCTTTCCTCCCAGGGCTGGCAGATTTATCACTCTTGCAAATATATGGCAGAATCTAAAATGGATTTTTTAAAATAAATAATAATAATTTAACACGTATAGGACTTATATTATAGCCAGTGATGGGTGCTACTGACAACTAAGAGATGCTCGTACCCGAGACGATAGGAGATGTACGTGTCATGTTAAACGATCTGTGCCCGGAAATTCCTATCCCTGTGAGGTATTATGAAATCCAATAGTCCGGAAGAATCCAGGTCGTCTCCAATCCCAAACAGACTGTGGGCAAGTATTTCTTTGTGGTAACTTCTTTCGTCGTTCATACCTAGTTCCATTCTTCTAATGTGTTATGTCGCCCATCCCCTTCCATCTACTAGATTCTTCACTGAACTATTAAATAAATATAAAAAATAGTATGAACTGAACTAACCTTAAGGTTCATATTGTATTACATGCCGAATATCAAATTTAACACTATTTTTATAGCTCTCACTAACGATAATCACGACTTTTTAGGATTACTAAGCACAATAATTATAAGCTTGAAATTCACTTAAAATATTTGTTCCTAAATTGAAGGAATAAATGAGAAATTGAAATAGTAATGACCAACTTAATTATGTTTATGATAAATGCGCGATATTCATACATATACACTTTTTGTCGCTGACTATATGTATATTATTTGATTACTATATGATACTTATTTTTATCGTTCGTAAAATCTATCACAGTGTGAAATAAATTTCACTCCAATCATCAATAAAGATTTAAGTACTAAATCTCGTTTGAAATGTAACGTTGATAAACGAATTCAACACCACAAAGTTCGAACGAGGCCGATTCACATTAGTATGAGCGGTTTCACGACAAATTAAAAGGACATATAAACAAATTTGTACAACAAATGTGACTGATGTATCTCGGCGAAGACTGAAAAGGAGTTGGATAAGAGACCTCCTAGTGTGACTACAAAATTTCGCAGAATGTTAGAAGGAAGGATCCATCACGAGGTGCTGTCTTCCTCATGCCTACTTATGCTGTGTATGATTTATATTATCTCATTTGCTTATTGTAAAATTTTACAGGGCCAATCAAATATCAGAGTAAATCAAATATTTTCGTATAAAAAAGTAGTACTTGGTTTGATTATGACTATAATATATACTGAATACATATATATGTATATATATATATATATATATATATATATATATATATATATATATATATATATATATATAAATGTATATAAATTTAAATACCTAGGATTAATATTTAATAGATAATCCACCAATGATATCGACAGAAGAATTGGTGAAGGGAGAAAGGTCACAGCAATACTCAACAGTATCCTTTGGCTCGATATATAAATGTATACATATATATGTATATATATATATATATATATATATATATATATATATATATATATATATATATATATATATAAATGTAAGCATCATGAACCACATTTGGTTGCTGATGACCAAGCAATCATAGCCCAGGATACAGAGGACATCGATTAGACGTTCAGAAAGGTTGTCGAGAGTAATGAAAAATGGGAGTTTACTATTAACTTCATGCGGACAGAGCACCTTGGCACTTCATTTGATGACACACCAATTGAAAGAGGTATAAAAACTGTAGAGAAATTTAAATACCTAGGATTAATATTTAATAGATAATCCACCAATGATATCGACAGAAGAATTGGTGAAGGGAGAAAGGTCACAGCAATACTCAACAGTATCCTTTGGCTCGAATATACAGCCCAGTACAAAGATTTCCTGAAAGAAAGCCAAATATATGTAAGGAGCTGAAAGTCGAAGGGAGAAGAAAAATGGAAAGAGGCGACGGAAGAAGCCCTAGCGGGTCATGGCATTAGAAAAAAAACCTTAGATAGAGAAGGATAAGGGGGCGGAGTGGCCGAATGGGCTAACTCGTGTGCACAGCACCGCGAGTTGCCGCCAACCAAATAATCGAAGTTAAGAGATTTTTAAAAAAGTATGAGTTAGCGTCCCGGTGCCAGAAGAGATATTAAATTCCCCACCGTCACTCTCCGGCCGAGAAAATCCCGTATAGCCTAAAAGGTGAGGTAGGAAAAAGAAAAAAATAAATAGAGAAGGATGGAAACATGTCTTAAAGGATATTTAGGTCAAGCACAACGATTTTAGTGGAAAAGTCCTTAATAAAAAATATATATACTGTATTTGTATTGTTTTCAAGCCACGAAAAATATAATTTTACTAGCTGACCCGTGGGAATACTTCGCACAAACCTTATATTTGTATGTTCCTTTCAGTAATGTTTCTGTGCAAAGCTTTAATACTTTTATTTAGTAAGTTATCAGTTTATAAATATAATTATCCATACCCATCCATAGCTTAACCCTTTCTGGTTTCAATAAATTTATAATTATAATATTATATTTTTTCTTAAGTTTACAAAAGCTTCTAAACATTGCTTTTAAATATCTGATGAAGGCTAAATACTTTGAATCATTTTCTGCTCTGAAATATAGCTCTCATGAGTAATATAAACTGGATATAAGAGTAAAAAAAAAAAAAAAAAATAGAAAATATTTTATCAGACATAACTGTTATCGATTTCGATGATTTTTTTTACGTCTTGTAGAGAATTTAGTAAGCTTTCAAATACTCATATGCATAATGGGCCAAAAATTGCGTCCTTTCCGAGTTATTTCCAAGTTATGAATTCATTTGGAACTTCTCGATTCGTTGAGACGGCACCATCATACGGTTTGAAACCTCCCACTTTTACGTTCACTTTTATTTATGTCCATGTATAAAATTAGGAATTAAAATTACGATTGGCGCACTCTACGTGATATTCCATTTCTATTGACCCCTCATTCGTCAAAATCCCTCACTCCCCAGAGCCGGAAAAGGGATATATATTTGAGAAATAATATATAAGATATTATTATTTATTTTTTAATGCTTACTGCTGATCTGGAGGGTTGATCAACATCTTTTGCTTCCGGTTTTTACATTGAAAAGCCACGCACTTGGCCGCCTTCTTTGACCCACCGGTCTTCCGGGTTCGCCTGCATCTACTGAAAAACAAAAAAAACTTATGGAAAAGAGTTCACATTTTTATAATTCGTAATTATTTCACATGAAGAAAATGTATTTACAGCTTAAACCATGGGCACAATTCATCAATATCGGCCTCCGTATATTTGAATTTCCGCTTATGATATGGTAGATGATTTATGGGTAATTCATTCCATTTAGTGTCAGCGAAACGGCGGTAGTTTGGTATCGAAGATATTTGAGAAATTCTAGAAGATTCCGCAGGCTGGAAAGAAATGTATAGTTACATCATCGATAATAGTTACCTGATAAATAGCCACGAACTATAAAATTCTTCCACAGGAAATGGAATACAAATAAAAAAACCTGTAAGTAGAAGAAACTTAAACGATATATATAAAATAACAATAACAAAGTTAAAAATATAAAGTAGTGGGAGTAAAGTTAGGATATATAACATAACGGTATCAAAGTTAGGAACTAATGAATAAAATAATAACAGTAGCTTTCCTTTTTCGTTCGCTTAATGTATTTTTGCAATGTTTAGGTTTGATTTCATGTTTTTCCTCATTTTGGTATCCAAATCAAGTTCCCGTTGACTAGAAGAACATACAGCTTCGAATAAAGGAAGTAATATTTTAAAAAAATAAAAGTTTAATTTTTTTGGATAGTTAAATTATTGCATTAATATTTGTTAGTTAACAAAATCAATATAATGTACCAAACGTTATTATAGCACTATCACTATGCCATTTATGAGTACTGAATGATGTGGCAGAGGCCTGTAGGCACCTACGCAAGTACCGCTTTTCCATCGATTAAGTGCATTTTCTACGGAACTGCTTCAAACATATTTTAAAGTACTCAGTGTTTTAGAAAGAGAAATATATTCTCCAGATGTTTTTTTTCAGGACGTTTTCCGTTATTGTTGGCTTTTTTATTACAAACAATGCTTGATTTTCAACATTTTTTTTTTTAAAGTTGACTTTATTGGTGTTTTTTATTATCTAAGCCAACTCCTTTTTAATATTCTTTCATGTTTCATTATTTTCTGACTATCTAGCTTTAATAAAATGCCAAATATGACGAAATTGAGCCAAATGCTAATTCTCAGGAATAAAATAACTAACTCAAACAGAAGTCGTCAGTGCGCCATCTTTGGACGCCATTTTGGGGTAGTGTGTACACTTTTTTGTGGGAAAATTGGCTTTTTTTTAACCTCGAGAGCTAATAAATATATATGCCAGAAACAAGTACTTTCGGGGTCACAATGGTCCAAAACTTAACATCCACTATGCACCGTTGCGTGGAGGCCTAGGAGCCAGCGGACAGTCGAAGGAAGTTGGGTCCCTCTCTTGCAAATGCTGCAGAGAGTCTGTAACACCATCCCATGTTCTGAGAAAATGGCCCAACAACTCCCTCCTCATAACACGCCGGCACCATAGGGTCAAATTCGAATTGACGGGGCTCCTTAGGGAAAGGGAATTCACATGCTTCGACGAGGTCTATTGATGGTGATGGATCAACATGATATGCGGATAAAGTTGCATTCTCAAGGACCGGAAACGCGGCACTGGTCTTAGATCCAACTGTCCGCTATGAGTCACAGTGGCCTCTGGTTTGGGTCTCACAGAACGATTCCTAAAAGAACAAGGAGCTTCTTGGTGCAAATAAGTGTTGATGTCGGAGAGCTTGCAGTGTTGTCCGAGAGCATTTTTCTGAACTCTCTTGGGATCAGTCATCACAATATTATGGATATTTATTATCATTTATTTATTTATTCAATTTTAAGTATTTCAACTAATCATATCTTTTTATCTGTGTTCATAGGATTATATTACTTGGTATGTGTGCGTCCTAATTTTGGCATTCGAATATTTTTTTTTTCTATAAATTTCAGAAATTGTCTTGTACCGACTTTACTGAAATATATATATTGTATAATTGTAATTGTGTGTATTGGTATATTATAGTATTGATATTATTTATGCTGTGTGGTAGGAAAAATAATTTGTATATATATAAATATTTGATTAAGTGCTATGTCCAAAAAAAAAAAGCATTGATGAGTATGCTGTGTATTGAGTAACCCTATATAGTAGGGCAGCAGTGCTTTAAATAAAATATTTTTCTAGTTACAAGGAACACAGCGATAAGTAATTTATAGGGATGTAGTGGGGAGAGGAGGGGGACACAGTAGAAGTGTCTGACCCACCGTGTAAAACTAATGATCAACTTCTCCCTTTTCTTGAAGCTCAGATACAGATTTCTGGGTGTACAAGTACACGAAACTACTTCCATAAAATGGTCCAACCTTTTGAACTTCATTAGAAGAAAAAAAAAGGATTGAGGAAGAGTTTTTTATTTTTTTGGTCTCCCCTTCTTTGCCTTTTAGGCTTCACGGGTTTTTTTTTCCCGGCCGCACAGTGAGCCGAATATTGGAAAACTTGCGACATCGGCTAAAAAAGAAATATTTTTTTATAACTCAAAAAACTAGATAAATTGTTTAATTTATACCTTAGGCATTTTGTGAGAATATTTTTAGTTGGCAGAATGAACATTTTATACTGTTTTTACTAAATAGTTCAATTGAAAATATAATTAATTTGTGGAATTTCGCGTGATTTGTAAAATTTATTGGTTCGAGCTGGTGGTTGATATTTTTTACACTTTTTACTGTAATTTAAAAAAAAATAATCACTTAGAAAACTTGTTTTACTTCGAATCTTTTTCTTTTTTTGTTAACAAAAACAGGTGTTTTTAAATCGAATTTTTACATATACTGGGATTTAAAAAAACTTCTGATATCCTCCGGAAAATTGATTTCTTACTACTTTTTTGCAGTCATTGCTAAAGATAAATTCATATTAATTTAAACCGCCATGGTCCACTCGAACGTAGTTAAAATATATTTAAAATTATTTTTGTATGAATAAATGTTCGAAAAATTGTTGTTAATACAATCTTTAAAATTATTTTAAAAAATGGATATTCTTTCTATCGGAAAATGTGAGAAAGTACCGAAGGTGCTCAAAATATCATTATCCATGGTTTTTAAATTTGCTTGTATTAAAAATAAAATAAAATGTTTATTATTCCATAAGAACTATCATAAATGAATATTTATAATTAATGAAGGATACACTTTTTAAGTTATTACATATACATATATTATAATTACATTTTGAAATAATACTTCATCAGTTGAAAGTATACATTGTTGCAATAGTCTACACTAAAAATTCATGATTTTCCAGTTATGACGTCGCAGAATATGCATCAAGAGATTTTTTCTATTGTACTATTTATTTATCTATTACTTATTATTTATTTATTACCATTGTACCATTGTACTACTATTCCATATAATTATATTTTGTGATTTATTGTTTTTAAAATTTAAAAAAATTAAAATAATGGTTGTATGTATTAATGTAGACAGTAATCTAAAATTATGCGTTTTATGAGGTCTCTGTCATTTTCGAAGTTAATTTATATTCAAATTTAAAAATTCCCAGGTATAAACAAAGAAACAGAGATTGTTTTGTTTTCCGCCAAAATTTTCAAATTCTGACGTCATATTCGTGTTCCTTGGCCTTAAAAGCATAAATATACTAAATATAAAGTTAATCATTTACGTGTTCTATTGTCTATTGTCCCCCATGTCCACGAAAATCTATCTATCGTCCCACTGTGTGCCAAGGGGAGAGGGCGGGGGAATTATACCGAGATTTGAACTCGTAATTATCTGTTTATCTCAAATCTTGGTTATCAGTTTGCCGGACAGCGCATGGTGGCTGTGCACACGCTTTAGCCCGCTTGATCACCCCGGTATAATAGACAACCATTGGTAGTATTGTTTTAGGGGTTGGTAAAAAGGACCAATAGACCCACCTGCTGGACTAAGTCCCCCACCAGTACCAGTACTACCCTCCTCTTCCCTTCTCTCCCTCTCCATTTTATAGTACATAAAATGAATAAATCACACATACTTGAGGCATATTTTTGACTTTAATCCCTCTTCCAATTTCTTAGATGTATTCGTTTCTTTGGGTAATATAAAATGTTTAGTCCTAAAGATTGCTCAGTTCTTTTCCCTGAAAATAATCAGATATAGATGTTATATAATGATAGAAAAAGTGATATGAGTAAGTATCTGTATCATAATTACCTAATGATGAATTGTTGAAGTTTAATCAATATGACTGTAAAGTTAAATAGGCTTCCAAAAAACAAGTAGGTGCATTTTATTGTTGAAAACCTGCCTGATCAATTCATGCAAATGCTTCCATTGCCTTTTATATCTAAACTTGGCCATTCAAGATATCCGATTGAATCTATAAAAATTATTAAGTTCTATCATTTAATGATACAACTAATAAGAATCACCTGTTACTAGAGATTCTTCAGTAAGGTTCTTAATGTTGGATTTTTATTTTGCTTTTCATACTTCCCAGAATAGTATAATGGATTAGACGTTTTTATTATTCTGGGCATACCGGACTTTATTTGATTATTAGGCAAGTAATAAATACGACTCTCCTTCAGTTTTCCTTTGGTTATTATTTCCTCTTTAATAAACAATATAAAAGTGTTTAGTAAAATTTCTAATATAAGATTCACATTTGTCCTCTACCCCATTTTTAACTATGGCTAATTGCAAGGATATGTTGTAGGACTTGCTGAGGATTTGTTCATTACTATTAGCAGTGCCAGTAATATCTAAACGAAATTTAACATTTCAGAATTTAAAAGAATAAAAATTTTAAGTCATTCCTAGGTTAGCCTCTCATTGCTTTCAGGAAATGCCACCATGTTTGCTCACAGTTGAAGCAATTTTAATATGTCATCAATATCTTAACGTTTTATTTTTTGAGAATTTCTTAATTAAAATCCAATCACACTAGTTATTCAAGACTTATCATATAATAAAGTATATGGATTCATAATTGGTAAATGGTTGACTGTCGTGGATAATGAAGAGAAGGATAGTTGGGGGTGGTCAGTCAAAAAAGAAGGCAAAAATAAATGATAATATTTATTTTTACATATACCGACGTTTCGACCTGAAGTTCAGGCCTTCATGAGGGCTGTCTCCAAAAGTTTTTTTTTGGAGACAGCCCTGATGAAGGCCCCGAAACGTCGGCATATGTAAAAATAAATATTATCATTTATTTTTGCCTTCTTTTTTGATTGACCAGCCCAACTATTCTTCTCTTCAATAAAGTATATCTTTCATTGTGAATAATAAATAGAAACAGTGATTAACCACCAGATCAACAATTTATTTATGCAAGAATTTAGAATAAGACTTTTAAGTTGTAAACTAATAATGTAAAGTTTCCTTTATTTATTTATTTTTTTGACTCATTATGAAACATTATGTTTATGGGATATTTAAATTTTGAAAAAAAAAACTTAGTATTGATAGATATATATATATTAAAGAATAAATACAAATTCGACTTACATATGAATTATGTAAATACTTTTTGTGTGTGTGTGTTTGTTCTTTTTTATCTTGTTTATTGTAAATTTGTTGCTATCATGTTCTCCTATACTTGTTATTGTGTTCTTGCAGGTGTTAACTAATGTGTTCATATGTTTTAATGTTTTATCATCATATAGTACACATATGATGTAATAATACTTACACATGGTTGAGTAAGAACATAATGCTAATAGTAATTTCTGATTACTAATCGAAAATTCATGTAGAAATAAATCAATATAGAAATAAATAATATTATCTAGATTCATTTGACGGTAGTTTAAACAGTTAGAATACGGTCAGAGTATTTGATATATTTAATGTGAAACATCTTTTTAACATTCATCAGTGTTGTAAAGAAGATGAGATTAAATATTATTATTATCTGGAGTTGCTATCCAGTTGTTGAGTTAAGTCCTGTCCCAGCACGGATTTCAAAATTTATTTTTAATTTTGAATAAATTTATATCATCCACCTACCATGCACCGCCACATAAAACTTTTAAAATCTATCATTGCGATATGATTCGGCCTTAATTCATTCTTTTATTTCAAAGAATGTCGTTTTCCATGATGATAAATAAATGATGGCACAAAGATAAAAGAGAAAAAAACATAGCTAATTATAAAGAAATGAAGGGTCCAAACATCAATACCAATATAAAAACTAATCAAAACAAGTCCAAAAATAAAAAAGCAAATCTAATCACAAACTATTTTACAGTAGATAATACTAAAAAACATAAGCATAACAAAGAAAATCCTGACCTACAATTTCAGAATAAGAAAAATAAGAATATTAACCATGACCCCAACCCCAAATAATACTTTTCGGTCACTTATATTAGAGGTTTAACTGATAAAATTGAAAAAACTTTTAAAAAATACGATATAAATGAAATCAGATTTGGGAAAAACCTATTAATAAATTATATAGTAGAACTAAGGATATTATTCCAAAAGAAAAATTAACTAATATTGTTTATAAAATAAAATGCGAGGATTGTGAAAATAAAGCAAATTACGGACAAACCTCACAATGGTTTGAACGTAGGATACAGCAACATAAACAAAATTACAGGTCTAAAACGACAAAATCAAAATTAGCCACATGATCATCGCAGTATACCACAAAAAATGGACATAAATTTGATTTCGGTACTGCTTCCGTGTTGCATAGAGAACAGAATATTGAGAAACGTAGAATCATTGAATCCATTTTTATTACTAAAAATCTTAAACATTCGGTGAATCAACAGACAGATGTTGATAATTTAAACACGTTTTATGCTAGCTCAATAGACAAAATTAATATATATATAATATACTGATATAAAACAGCTGATCCCTAACCCCTCCACCCCACTCTTTATATAAGTAAATCCAGTCCTGTATGAATGACCTATTGAGGAACAACAATTTCTTGATACCGTCTGCAAATAGAGGTATATAAAACGAAAATTAGTAATATTCTTTTTTAAAATTAATTATAACAATCTATTTTAATTTATTATTTATATATTACAATTTTTAGAAATGGAAAACGACATTCTTTGAAGTAAAAGAATGAATTAAGGACGAATCATATCGCAATGATAGATTTTAACAGACAGATGTATGTGGCGGTGCATGGTAAGTGGATGAAATAAATTTATTCAAAATTAAAAATAAATTTTGGACTAATTGTATTACTTGTGGTTGTTAAATAATATGTGTCTGATAAGGATGTATTTGAATGGTAAAAACTAAATTAAAATTAGTTTTGCAGGATCTTGAAAATGCCTCCTGAAGCCGAAACGTTGAATAAAGCATACAGGAGATAAAAAAACTGTCTATATTTGGTGACCTTTGGCCTAAAATAGATATATGAAAAATTATGAGAAAATGGCACCAAACCTGAAGGATGTGACTAGAAAAGCTAAATATAACTTTTGAAAGAATTTGATAATTGAAAAAAGGAGAAAAAATTAAAAATGCTTATCCTGGTCGAAAACGAATCTCCGGAAAGACTTGTCAGAAGGTATACGTATAATATATCGTTGGAAAGTGGAGAATTTTAGAAGAAAAAAAACAATATCTAATATAGAAAATTGTAAAAGGTAACGGAGAGCTGCGAAAAAATTGTAAATAATATTTTTTTAAAACTAATATTATTTAACGTAAATCATATGTTTTCAAGGAAATTATATGAAATTTTCTTACTATATGTAAACTTTTAAATGTTTTTCTAAGATTGAAAAAAAAGTATTTAAAATCCACCGAATCAAGCCAATGCCATTGTTTAAAATACTATATGATAGTACTTGTGTGAAAGAAGAAGTGAAATATAAAAACATTTCATGGATATGTTTATAACCTCAAATATATTTACTATAGAGTATTAACTTTAGATAAGACATTATATTTAAATAATTAGGTATCTATCAGCCGTTTATTAAAAAAAAAATCATCAAGTAACCTTTTAGAAAACTAAATTAGTGAATAATTTAATGAATTTTCCCTTTGTGAAATCCCAACATTATCCACTTACAATTAGTGAGACAACTTTTGACCTATCCACGGCAAGGAAATGAAAATCTCGTAATTTTGTTTTAGTAAACTTTACTATGTAAAATAACAGCTTAATAACTAATAGTTTGTGTTGGCCAAATGCGAGACCGAGACGAGTCTTGCTCTTGCGCAAGACTCTAGTAACAGACTTACGGTGGTTTATTTGCTTATTACTAGAGTGATGTTACTGTATTTTTTTATATATAAGAAACCTAACTAAGTCTGAATGAAAAATTAGAAGAGTTAAATGAAAAAGTATATTGGTTACACCAATTCTTTACATATAATAACTAAAATTGTCAAGTATTAGTGACTATTTTGCCTCAATTTTTATTCAAAAATTAGATTTTTTTTTCACCAGTCTTGGTCTTGGTCTTGCAAAGTGCAAGACCAAGACCGATTTCGCGCAACACTACTAATAGTCCTTCCCTACTTGAGGGAAGTTAAAAATAATGTCAATCCATGGGAATCTTCATTCCAAAATAGGCAAAGAAAGGATGTGGTTCTGAAGCTGCTATGTTAGAGGAAATGAAATAACACTTTTCAATATTCCTAACAATATTTATTCTGCTTTATTTGACAATCCACAGATGAACGACAAACTTTTTGACTTTCTGAAACAGACGAAAATATATTCCAAAATTTAAAAAGTAATCACTGGCGCGAGGCGAAATTCATTACCGGTTGGGGCCTTAAAAATCGTTTCTTTTTTTTTTTTTATTTATTGAGAAATATTACAATCTGTCACAATTAAGATCATTTATAATAGTTTTCAGAGAGCACATTCACATTCTATTTACAATAAATAATACAAGAACCAATAATAACAAAAGTTTTTTTTATTTTTTTTTTATTTCTTGATGATATTTATATACACTGTATTACAAGTAAAAATACATTCAGTAAATGTGAACAAAAGAATAAAATAGCATGAAATCACTTGTTGAGAAACTACCCACTGGTAGCACTCTAAAAATGTATTTACAAAAGGAGATCTCGAGGCCATCTTCTTTTCAGACGCCTCGGAGGTTTGTCAGGGATCGAAAAGGAAGCAAGGTTAGAAACGAGAGGGTTAGGATGGTTCTAAAGTTTGTTATGGAAGGATAGGTATCTGGATTGGGCCAGGTCAGAAACATAAGGAACATTAAGGTCGTTATGGATGATTTTGTTTGTGACAAAGTAAGGAGCTGAGAGGATTTTACCAAGGATTTTGGATTGTAAGGATTGGATACGAGAGGAATTCGATGGCTTAGTGGAGCCCCAGAGCTCAATTCCGTAAGTCCAAATAGGTCTTATTGTAGTCATGTATATGAGTCTTTTGTAATTGACTGGGAGCTTAGAGCGTTTGTCTAGTAAGTGGTGGAGTAGTCGGAAACGTCGAGCTGTTCCTTGTCGTTTCAGTCGGGTATGAGGATTCCAAGTTAGACGTTTGTCTAAGTGGAGTCCAAGGTATCAAATTTGTTCAACAGGGATAGTTGGGGTATTATTAAAGGATACTGTAGGACAAGAGGACATAGGTTTACGATGAAGGCTAAAGGTGATTTGATGGGATTTATTGAAATTTATTTTGATCCTTCAGTTTTGAAACCATTCTTCAAGGTTTGTGATGTGTGATTGAAGGGTTTGGGATACAATTGTTGGGTTGTTATTAACTGATAGGACACATGTATCATCGGCATACGTGGTAATGACAGTGTTAGGATGGGTTGGGATATCAGCTGTATAAACTGTGTAAAGGATAGGACCTGGGATACTACCTTGAGGAACATCAGCGGACTGGGAAAAAAGGGATGAATAGGCATTATTATGATTTACTTTGAAGGATCTATCAGTTAAATAGGAACGGATAATGAGGAAGTATGTAGGGTGTAGGAATTTACGGAGTTTGTAAAGCAGTCCTGGGTGCCAGACTCGATCAAAAGCCTGTTCTACATCGAGAAAGACTCCCGTGCAGTACATTCCGCGCTCCAATGCAGAGGAGACAACATCCACCACACGATGGCATTGCTGGATAGTGGAATAGCATCTGCGGAATCCAAATTGATGATCTGGGATAATGTGATTAGAATCTAGGGTGGGGTGCAGGCGTTTTAGGATGAGCTTTTCCAGGATTTTGCCTAGGATGGGAATAATAAAAGTAAATGTAGATTTTCTGTTTAGTAGTCTGTATAGCTGACCGAATCGTCGGTTGAGCTCTTGTCTTTTGAGTCTAGTATGTGGGTTCCATGTTAGTCTTCGGTTTAAATAAAAGCCAAGACACCGAAGTGTGTCTGAGTAAGAAAGCTGCATGAAATTAAAGTGTACTGGTGGACAGGAATTGCGTCGGAGTGTAAAGGTAATATGTTGGCATTTAGATTCATTAACTTTAATGCGCCAGTTATTACACCAGTGCTCAATCAGAGAGAGGTGCTTTTGCAGATTTAAGGATGCTATTTCAGGATCAGAGTTGGATGATAAGATTGCGGTGTCGTCAGCGAATGTTGCAAGGAAAGTATCGGGAAGAACAGGGATGTCAGCAGTAAAGAGGATGTAAAGCACGGGACCCAAGACGCTGCATTGGGGAACACCGGCTTTAATGGAGTAGATATTGGAAAATTCAGTTCCACAGCAAACTCGTAAGAAGCGGTCAGAGAGGTGGGATCGGAGGACTAGGTGCAAGGACTGAGATAAATGGATTTTAAGCTTGAAAAGCAATCCGGCGTGCTATACCGGGTCAAATGTCTGTTAAATGCCAAGAAATGCACCCGAATAGTATTCCTTGTTTTCTAGGGCTGAGGAAATATGATCAACAACTCGGAGTTCTTGTTGAACAGTAGAATGTTGAGAGTGAAAATCAAACTGATCGGAAGGAATATTTTGATATTCTGTAATGGGTAGGATTCCTCAGCTTTATCTTCGTCAGATGCTGCCCAGGAGCCGTCATCTCGTTAGAGGGGATGGGAAATGTGGTGATGGTTTAGGATTTTTGTTGTGGTATTCCAAAGAGAATTGTCACGAGGATAGAAGGAGGATGGCTAGGAGTTAAAGGATTGTGATCTGAAGGTAGCTAATTCCAGTTTTAATTTTTTGCAGTAATAATTTGAGGATCAGCGGTCGGTAGGATGTCGAGTACGTTGCCACAATAATCTGGTACGGCGTTTGATGTGGATTAGGTCAAGGAGATTTTGGGGAATAATGGTCTTTTTAAGAATTCTTTAGAAGTATTTTGGGAAGGAGGCAGCCCAGGCAGATTGTTGGATTGTGGTAATAACGGAATTGACGGCACTATCAAGGTCATCGGGAGTTTTTTGGGATATATTGAGAGCAATTTTATCGGAGAGGATTTGGCGGAAAAGGTCCCGGTTTACTGGACTCTTGATAAATGACGGTGGAGGTTTGGGAACGGGCTCAAGTGAAACATTAAGAATGAAAGAACTATGGTCAGAGGAAAGTTCATTTAGATGTGTAATGGAACAATTGAGGGAACCTAAGCCGCTGTGGATAAAGAAATCGAGGATATCTGGATTACGGTTAGGATCTGTGGGCCAGTAGGAAGGAGAGTTGGGGGAAAGGAGGTGAAAACGTTGGAAATTGAATGCAGACAGCAGGGTTCGGCCAAGAGAGTTTGTGGTTCTTTAAAAAAATGAAATTAAAAAAATCAGAGATTTATATCAAATCTGTAATGTTTTCCAATTAATCAGAGTTTCTGAATAATCAATCTATTTATTATTTCTTTCATGTTGATAAAATCTTTTGTATCTCAGATTTAAGTATTTTAAGCAACTATTGAATTTCTGATCATGGGAGGGGGGACAGGTCCTTGTGCCATCGACCTTAGGGGAGGGGGGATAGGCACCTCTGCATAGAGGTATTAACATAAAGGTACAAAGATGCACACATTGTTTATACAAAATGGTGATTAGAAAGAGATTGAATATTATGACTTGTATCATTATTATGATTTAAAGGAACCGTTAACGGTTTTTTTTTTTATTTGCCGGAGTTATTTGGTTATATAAGTAATTTCTTTTCGCAAATCATTGCCGAAAATAGTTGATATTTTTCACAGAAACACGGCTTTAATAACAAACTCTGAAATACTTTCCACAGTTATCAGTAACCTATTGTGTAAAAACTTGTCTGCCAACTTTCTATTATACACCGTATCACAAGGCCAATATATTCGACAGTTTGTTAGATTACATGGAACTTCTACTGTTTCATTGGCATTTATTCTCTTGGTTTCTTTGGTTGATTGCATTTTAATTAATACATATCCGATAAATTACGCTAAGGATTAACATCAATTAGTTTTTGTCGAAAAACAAGGATTCTAATTTATTATGTAAATATTACATTTATTCTTTTATATCTGCATGCTAACACTTTATGATATTTAAAAATAGTTGTAATTTCAATATCTAACCTGAAAATATAAAAAAATGTGTGTAATTAAGACATGGGAATGCATTAATACTAAGTACTTTCAACAAAACGTTTTAGAGTTCAAAGTTTAAACAATAATTTAAAAGGAATATGATTAATTAATTAATTAATGATTAAACAATAATTTAAAAGGAATATGATTAAAGTAATTAAAAAAGAACTTTGTTTAAAAAACCTTTGATTTACAAGAAATAAATCACATTTAATATTATTAGAACTCAGCACATTGACCTGTAATCTGAAAAATAAAAGAAATTATGACTTTTTTAAGGCCACCTGAACCGTACTATAGTAAAATATACCATTAGGAAAATATAATACTTGTTCCCAAGTGTCATGTCTAGTACAAAAGCAGGGCAAAAACACATAGATCACACTTAAAGAAGCTTGAATGTGCCCAAATGTTTATGTAGGATAATAATCTCCATATCTTTCTTTTAAATAAATTATGGAAGGTACTTTATTTTAATTAAAAAAGCGTCCAGCATCATTGATTAGACCTGTACTTCTCATAAGTCCTCAACTTCAATTAAAAAGGAGCCACTGGAGGTTTGATAAGTTTATCATTACAATATGATCTATGTGGGTTGACCTACTCAGCCAGATGTGACACTAATAGCAAAAATAATTTTGAATGAATTAAAGTACAAAATTTATCTTTTTTTATAACTTAGTACTTGTAATAATCTCAATCTTAATACTTTAGATAATGTCAGATCGAAGTGAAAACCTGAACAAGAGTTCAGCAGTGGAATTAGATCCTAATAAATCTTCAGAGTTCCAGCTAACCAAATATTCAACCCTTCGAGGATGAGGTTGCAAAGTCCCACAAGTTGTTTTAGACAACATCTTGATGGGACTTAAATCACAAGAAGAAAACAGTGCTCAAGAATGCCCGAAGGAAGGAAGCAAAGATCACCAACTAGAAACTAAACCTCCAAGTTTTCATAAAATTGGTGTGGGTTTAGATTCATCTATAATTCCTATTAGAAACAATTTAGCCTTGGTTCAGACAACTGATTTTTTTTACCCTTTAATTGATGATCCGTTTGTTATGGGACAGATTGCTTGTGCTAATGTTTTGAGCGATTTATATGCCATTGGTGTAAGATACTGTGATAACATGATGATGATTCTTGGAGTGCCTGATAATATGGATGAGAAAGAAAGAGAAACTGTAATTCCATTAATAATTGAAGGGTTTAAATGCACAGCTCAGGAAGCAGGTAGTAAAATTTCAGGAGGAGATACCAGAATTAGTGCTTGTTGTATAATCGGAGGGACTGCAACTTCAGTATGTGAAATCACAGAAATAATTATGCCTGACAATGCAATTATTGGTGACGCCATAATATTAACAAAACCTTTGGGAACACAAGCAGCAACTATGATTTATACCTGGCTTGAAAATAAAAATAAATGGAAAAATATCTGTGCTGTTATAACAAAAGATGAAGCAAAATGGGCTTTTCAAAGGGCCGTCAAGTCGATGGTTCAACTTAATAAAATTGCTGCAAGTTTAATGCATGAGTTCAAAGCTCATGCTGCGACTGATGTTACTGGTTTCGGTTTACTTGGCCATGCTAAAAACTTAGCTAGACATCAAAAGAATCTAGTACAATTTAAAATCCACACTCTTCCAATAATAAATAAAATGCTTGATGTGGATCGACAACTAAATAAACAATTCCACTTAGAAGATGGTAAAAATATTGAAACTTCAGGGGGCTTACTGATATGCTTACCACTCAAAGCTGCTGATGGGTTTTGTAAAAAATTTAAAAATTTATTAGGCTGTAATGCTTGGGTTGTTGGAACAGTGGTAGAAGGTGAAAGAACAGCTTCAATAAGTGATGATCCAACTATAATTAATGTCACAGATTAAATTTTTTCTATCAAAAAAAATAATGATATAAATATTAATGGTGGTAGATGAAAGAACGCCTTCTTCTCTAGGTATTGATACAATTTTTGTTTTATTAAAATCAAATTAATAAGACCAGTTTATGCGTAACAAGATTTTATGACTCAATACATGAAAGCCTTAACGATTGGTTGTTGTATTGATGATGTTATTAATGTTACCATCCTACTATTAGTTTGATATTGTTAGCAGAATCATAAAACATTTGTTTATAGCTCAATAAAAATTATTTATTACATTGTTATAATTTTTTTATTTTCTGTGTATTTATATTCTGTGTATATCTTTTATTTTCTATGTGTATATATATATATATATTCTAACATTACTATAACTCACTACATCACTTAGGTTATCTTATCAGTTCTCCTATTTCTTTATCTGGTTACCTAAACTAATTTAATATCAACTGATTTTATTTCCTTTTTACCTTGTACCAATTAATATTTACAGTCAGTATCTTTTTTAGCCCTGATGAACACTTAAAATGTAGGTCAAAAGAGAAAATACTATAAAAATATTCTGTTCTCCCTTTCCTTACCTTTAAGACTTTATAGGGTTTTTCCGGGCCAGAGGGTGAGAGCAGGGAATTAATGCCACAGTTAAAAGATATGCCAAGTTATTTTTTCCTCTAAACTTCGGTTATCAGGTTGCATGGCAACTCGCGATAAAATGCACAAAACTTAGGCCGCTCAACCACCTTCATAAGAATTTTGTATACCAATTCTGTTTTATTTTCACTAGTCAGTATTCAAATTATTTTTACCAGTTTTTAAAATATTTAATTGAATTTATTCCAATATTTTTTTTTTCCTGTTTATTACTTTTTTCAACTTAATATGTATCGGTATCTGTTTGATTATTTATTATCGTGCAAATTATAGTTTGTTTGATATTGATTTTCAATTCGAAACTTGAATGTAGAAAAAAGTCAGTATTCTCATGTGGCCAAAACTGGTATTTTATTTATTTATGAGATTTCACCTCATTAACTAAAGCAATATAGTAGTTATAGTTGATCATCAAAATCCTAATTTTCTTATTTCCAGGATTCCCTCTTATAAGTAATATAATCTTTCTTCCATTCTCTTATTTCGAATTGTAATTTATCCTCATTGGAAAATTGGAAGATCCTTTGGGGGGAGAGTTTAGCCTTTGAATGGTTAACTGTAGCGAATAATGAAGAAAAGGATAGTTGGGGTGATCAATCAAAAATAAAAATGGCAAAATTAAATAATAATATTTATTTTAACATTTTGACCCGAAGTTCAGGGCTGAGAGAAAGAGAAAGGGCTTCTTTTAGAAAAAGGGCTTCTTTTCCTCAGCCCTGATGAAGGCCTGAACTTCAGGTCGAGACGTTGGGAAATGTTAAAATAAATATTATTATTTAATTTTGTCTAATCACTCCAACTATCCTTCTCTTTATAATATTTTAAATAGGACCAAAATCAAGTATGTCTTAATTCTTTCTAGCAAAGGAATTGAAAATATTTAACGTTAGCCCAGCTGGTTTTTTTTGTTAATGTGGATATTGTTTAGTTAATATATATATATATATATATATATATATATATATATATATATATATATATATATATATATATATATACACATATATATTAACTACTATAGTATTAAGTTAATGAGGTGAAATCTCATAAATAAATAAAATATCAGTTTTGGCCACATGAGAATACTGACTTTTTTGAGCATTCAAGTTTCAAATTGAAAATCAATATTGAACAAGCTATAATTTTTAAATAATGAATAATCAAACAGATACTGAATCAGATTGTCAAACAATCTTTCCATTTATTTTAATTTTATATCCTAACTTCAGATCTCACTTTATTGCTTTTAAACTTTCATGGTTGTATCTTGGTCTGTTAATCCTGATGAGAGGAGTAAACCTTAGGCCAAAATATTGGCACATATTTTACAAATATTTTATACTACATTGTGTGTTTTCTTTTTTCACCACACCTCCCAACAATTGATTACACCTGAAATCAACATCTTCAAATTATCAATAAATAATGATTGTCAATAATATGGATATCTACTTCATTCTATATTATGGTATAAATCACTAAATAAAATATTACCAGATAGATCAGGATCAAGACTAATGATTTAAAGGAAGAAGATATAAAAAAATAAAACAAATAATTCATCCTTTTATTGTAAGTAAAGCATAATCTATCACATTATCAAATGTATTAATCATAATATAATGATGTATTTATATAAAAAAATATGTTTTAAATATATTTTAGCTAACAAAATATTTAAAGTAATGGTAATAATATTTTAATTTATATAAAAAATTAGACAGATTTTAATTTGTTGCTAATATTTAAAAAATTATCCACTTTCATAATATACAAAACCATGAATAGAAGTCTTGTACTAAAATCTTTTACCATGATTAACAGCAGTTAAATTAAAAATAATTATGATCAACAATTATAAAATATCCAGTTTTTGTAATAAAAGTACAGATGACTTAAGATACAGTGTACCATAAGAGCAAAAAACTAAACGGACATCCCATATAAAGGAAAATTCTGTTCAAAAACATTAATAATGTTTCATTAATCATGATTATATGTATGATTAAGAAAAAAGTACTAGAAACTAGTAAAATTTCACAAACAAATTGCAAATTTAAAAAAAAAATGATATATCCTAGGATGATAATTTTTAATAATTATAGCAAAGAGATTTAATAATACAGAGGTCATAAATATGAGTTTAGCTGTAACTCATAATTACATAAATGAATATCTTTTCATAATACTGTAAAACACAATAGACAAACAAAAAAATATTCACTCAAATTAAAATTATACATTAAAAACAACCAAAAACTTGGAAAATATTTTAATAAACTTAAATTAGTACTTTAAGACCAAAATAGATTGGCTTGGAATTTTAAAAATAGTAATGTAATGTATACTACTATAAAAATGTTTATGATGACAATTGTGAATCGTAAGGTCCCGTTAATATTTTGATAACTATGTATACAATGTAAGTTGTTTTATAGTTATTTAAAATGTTTAAATAACTTAATTTTTTTTATTTTCAAGATATATTTATGCTTTAATATATTTAAGTATATATACTAAAAAATACATCTGAAAAATTATTTTTTTAACTGGTTTTTGAATGAGTTTAATTAAAGATATTAAAAGTTATTAATATCCATAAATATTTCAAAGAGGCCAGCTTTAAGGAATAATACTAATAAATATTGCTTAGAATGTTTGTTTACTTAGGATTACAACTTATAGTGCTACGTAAATCACAATTTCAGCTATAGGACGTTTTAACCTTTCGCACATTCATTTCACATGAGATATATCCCATTGCTCTCAATTTGAAATTACTCTATTTCAACATCATCTGTGCTATACATGAATGTAATAACTGTGATAGTTGAATTAGAATGGGGGCTACACAAAAACTGTGTTGGTTCGGATCCAGAAGGATGACTTTTATTTAATGGGAGATCCATGCAGTAAATCTCAACTTTCAGAGTTAAGTTATAATAAATACAATAACCCATCCTCTGCTTGTATGAAAAAACACAAAATCTAAAGAAAATGTATAAAATAGGGGAACACCTTCAAATGAATATGGAACACAACCAGCAGAATACCATCAATTCATTGCTTCCTTAGTATCCACAACTTTCAATAACAAGAAAAGTAAATTATCAAGAGATAATTTCTTAAAATTATTGTTTTCAAAAGTTAAAAACAAAACATGTTAAAAGCACTAATATTTCACGAATTCAATTCAGTTATTAATTGATGAATATTATTGCGAAGTGTACTTACATGGTAAATATAATTTAACTTACAACTTATATTTAACTATATATCTATGTTTCAAGAAAATAATATTATTAGTACCTAACAGTAACCGTGCAATAATTAAGCTATTAATTTTAAATATCTAAATAACATTTTCATTTTGAATCTGTAGGCTGTAACAACTACTAAAAAAAGAACACGGTAGAAGTAAGTTACACCTAAATAGTATTATACTTTAAATAACTTCTCTAATATCTATATTTTATCAGATAATTTTCTTTATAGTTTAAGAATAAAGCCTCTACCTTCAGTATCATCTAATTATCTACTAATTTATCATAAATATCTCAACTATAGACTATGGTTAGTTGACTAGATAGATTTCAGAATTATAGATTACCAGGCAATCATTCAAAATTACTTTAAAAATCAAATCCAAGAGCAGTTTTTGCTACAAGCTCATGTGTGGCCTGATCCTCAGTTACAATTCATGTGAAATATTGATTGCAACGCACTTCCTACCTTGAGGATGACCTGTATAATTGGGCCTGTCAGCTTTTAATAAAAACTTAAACTCGTTTTCTTAATCACTTAAATTGATCACCGAATAACCTTCTACTAAACCATCATAAAAATTATCTTATCTTCTATCGTAGTCAATGGAAGATATATGAGAGAGAAAAATATTTCAAAAACATCTTCAATCAGATGAATGAAAAAACAAAGAGGCCACAAGCGTAACAATTTTAATTGATCCCACAGTAAAACCCGCTATACTTTGAAACATTTCTCAACAAAACATCACAAACACTAATTATTGTCTTAAACCGACTACTTCGCTATCTAGTTCATTTCATTAGAACCAGCCCAATAAAAAAATTCAAGTAAACTAAAACAATGTTCTGGAAGGGATCATTAAAATAAAATATATTTTTCTTGGGATCAAATTTTTCATTTTAGAAATGTGTTCAAGAAAAATATTTCTTGGATAGCTTGGCATAAAAAATATTAATCAATCCAGATGTACTAAATAAAACATTAATAAGAAGAAAGGAAATTATTTTAAAACGTATAATATTACATTAGGCACTAATAAGGCAACATTCTATACACTTTAATAAAAAAAAAAAAGTAATTGAATGTCACAGAACATTAATCTCACTTCTGACCAGCCTCTTATTAAAAATCCCTTGGTTAATAATTCAAGGAATGTTATGTCTTACAAATAAACTTTTTAACTTCTATGCCACGAAAAAAACATACCCCAAAAAAAAAAAAAAAACATGATCAATGAATGTAAAAAATAGTAACCAAAGTGAGCACCCAAAACAGAGATTCTGAAGTAATTCTTTCACTTGTATTAAAGTTGAATCCATTAACAAATTCATCCCATTCTTCTGTTTCATCAATACATTCAAATTCACAGCACCTTATACCTGACAGGAATTTTGAGCATTTTTTCTATAAAACAAATGAAATTACGTTAATACTACAATGGAGTTTTTCTCTTTTCAAAAATTTAACCTTAGAATTATGAAATACAAAAACAAGTAATATTCTGTAATTCAATAATGCTTTTTTCTTTAGATAATTTTCAATAATTACCAAAGTGTTAATGTCTATTAAGAATAATGGATAAAAAAGAATACCAACATAGCTAGATTTTTCTTCTGTCTCAAAAATTTTAAAATAAAATTAATAGTATGAATAGACCAATGTTATATAATACTGGCAAAAGATGTTGAAATTTAAAAATAAAAATAAATTTAAATTGAACCCAGAAGAACATTTTGTTTTTAAGTTTGTAACCATTTAAAATATCACTGTAATTATAAATGTAAACTTACAATAAATAATGACAATTTTGTGTACTACATATTTTCAGTATGTTCAGGTAAAAATAAACTATAGAGTTTTCATTTCTTTTCTTTGAAAATGCCATTACTTATTAGTGAGAAATCAATACCCCATTCCCTAATGTAAAAGTAAACATTAATTATAATTTTTAGTCTGTCAAGCTGAAAATAACCTATTAAGCTCTGTATTTATTTTCCATAAAAAGTACATTGAGTTATTATAGAGACAATATTTATCTCTCATTCAGTAATATGAAAGTAAACATTAACAATCACTCTATAATATCTTCTATGACTTTATATGTTACACATTCATCCTTATAAAATCTTTCGCTTTCCAATTTTATATAACACATCTAAGAGGTGTGTAGATTAATGATAGTAATGAACTGATTTTTTCTATTTTTTTTTTTAAATGAAATTACAAATTCACACTGTCTCCTTCAACCTTTGGAAGCCACACAGATACCGGAATAGCCTTCAGTTGGTCAGTAAAGGCCTGACACCGTTTTTCAAATGTTTTCATTGTACTGTGACCAAGCCTGAAGCAGAACCTGATAGCACAACATTCTTCTAAATTGATTTTATTCATTTTTAGATCATACTAAAAAAATCTGTTTAAAAAAAAATTCACTACAGGCAGTGCAATAACTCCAGCGTGTTTAAACTTGTACTGGACGCATATCAAATGTTTACCAGCCTACTCCTCTACATGACATGTCTCTAGTCTCATTACTTAATTTACACACCTCGTCCTAGCCAATAATATTTCTCTTCATGTGTCCTCTTACAATGAATCTCGTCCCCATTGTTTGAATATTGCGTTAGCTGTAATACAGGATGTGGAAAGGTTTTTTGAGGATTCCGATGTATTTCTATCTAACTTCTTTCAGTGAATTCATTGAATATGACAGAACAGAACTCTTATTGGAATTGTTGTAAAGCCGTTTTTCAAAAACTGCTAACAAGTTATAGCAAGCTAATGGGCCAATCCATTTAAAATCACTCAGATTTCAAATGGATTGACCCTAATTTATTCGAAACAGGAAATAATAATAAAGGAAATAATAACAATTTTTATTAATTAAATTAACTCTTATATTAATTAAGATAACTCTTATAGGAAGGAAAAAGGAGGTCCTTGATAGCTGTTTTTTAACAGTACTTTCCTTAACAACTTCATTAAAGAATGCAACTTGCATTTGCAAGCTAAACTAGCACATGCTTAGTGTATGTTAAAGCAAAGAAGTGCTAAAAAAAAATAAAAAAATTTTAAGGTTCCACTACTTATATTCTCGAATTCTATTTCTAATTTTAAAAGAAAATTTTTTATTTAAATAGTACTTATAACATAATTCAATTTCACATAACATATATTCATATGCCAGTTTCCAATAATAATTTTTACAAATACAAATCTATATCCTTTGTCAGACATAATTTCCATCTTACATTTCAATAAAAAAAAGAATGATTGTTTCAGATTATTAAAAAAAAATTAAGAAAACAGCAATTAATGTAACTAATTATGAAATCTAAAAGTACTAGAACTACTCATACATATTTGAGTACTTATTTATATATATATATATATATATATATATATATATATATATATATATATATATATATATATATATAAGTGTGTGTGTGTGTGTGTGAAATAATTAGTGAAAAAACATGCATAAATAATAAAAAAATATATAATTTTTGACCTTAGGTCCCCATAGCAATATTACCTGAACCTAAGAAAAAATTAGAATTCGATGAGAAACCATTTGTCTGCACAATGGTATTAAAGGAAATAAAACTTGTTATATACTAATTATTAGAGCAATTACTTAGTCCAATGTAAAAGTGGAAAGTAATTAAGTTCTGACCTATGCTAACAATAATTTTGGCACAGACCAACAGAATAAAACTTAACTTTGTCATTTTGGTCAGAAAAAGATTAGTAACCTGTTAAGAACCCATCTTTTATTCACACACAAATTCAAACATACATAATAACACAATAAGATGAGAAATATTGACCAGCTATTTGTTCTACAAGTTCAGCCTTAATATAACAACCTTCATCAATAAATTTAATATTAAAAATAATGAGTTTTGTTCATTACGATACTGTCCCTTCATATTCCCATATTTATTTGCAATAATATATATATATATATATCATTATATAAATAAGCAAACACAAAACGGTTCAGCCCCTTTTTCTTCTCTATTATTCAACCTTCTTCCTTCTTTTTTTGTTTAATAGCTATTGACGAGCTTTAGTGTTATCAATAAATAAAAATATGAAATATTTTTATAAATAAATATATAAATGGTAGTTTGTTAAAACAGCTAATCTCCGAAAGTTCTTCACCGATTTCTTTGAAATTTTGACATTATCAGTGTTTGTCAGTTAAAATTTTGACATTATCAGTTTCATTATCATCAAGCCTTTCCTTTCGAAATGGCGGCCGAAAAACGTGATTCGCTTTAGACAGTAGCGCCAATACGGCTTTAACGATTTTAATGAAACTTGGCTAAAGTCTTCCCCTTGAAACATTTATAATATATGAATATAACGTACTTTGCCGAAAACAAACTGCATAAACATTTATCATGAATTCAGTATTTTATTTGCGAATATCTCAAAAAGTACACAATTTTTTATTGATAATACCAATGTTTATTTGAAAGCTTCCTGAATTCCCTACAAAATAAAAAAAAAATCATGGAAATCGGACTATTTGTTGCAGAGATGTGTCATTTTAAACATTTAGTACTTTTTCTTTTGCAAATTCGATTTCCTTTATTTTGTTTTTTTATAAATCGAAAACTCTACGTTTACTGAGATAATTGGAACAATTATTAAAAGAGATGATATCATTGAATACTAGTGGAATGTTACCTCATAAATTAAATTTAAAAATAAATTCTATTGTTATACTTATTCTGAAGTTAAATACTGTGCACAAGCATTAGTTAATGGAACACGAATGAGAGTGAAGTACTGACGTGAGCTACTTTAAATAAAACAATTTTAATTCCAAAAATTAATTAAATATTTTCTGACACAACATTTACATTCGAATTTCAAAGAACAACGTTCTTATTAATAGCTGCATTTGCTATGACCATAATCAAATCGCAAGGTCAAAGTTTTGGAAAAATTCGTGTTTTATTGGGACGTCCAGTAATTTCGCATGGACAATTATATGTGGCAGCAAGTAGAGCAAGTTCATTTCAAATTTTGAAGTTTATAATTCCAATGGCAATGGGCAAGGCTATGTACTAAACAATGACAGAATATTTAAAAAGAACGTTGTTTACAGAGAACTTCTGCATAAAAATGGATTTAAACTCAGTTAAAAAATTTAACTCGGGGGCAGTGGGCTGATAACCCACCCCCCCTAAAGTACCTTATTACGAAACCTCAAAGAGAAGAAGCCGGACTGAATTACGGTAACAGACCCAGGAAACGCCTAAATGACCTAAGAATTGGATTTTGGAACATTTTATCATTACATAAACTAGGAGCACTTCGTGCGCTCCTTGCAGAAGTGGACACATACAGAATCGACATAGCAGCTATCCAAGAGGTCCGATGGATAGGACAGGGAATTATGGAGAAGAAGTACCATACACTCTACTATAGCTGCCATGAAAAGCATCACATCTTCGGTACCGGATTTGTTGTGAGAGGCAGAGCTCGACAGTTGGTGATGCGATTTACTCCCATTAACCAAAGGTTATGCTACATTCGGCTTAGAGGAAAATTTTTTAATTTCTCTCTAATCAACTGCCATGCCCCAACAGAGGTGTCACCTGAGGAGGATAAGGAAGCATTTTATGAAGAACTTGGACGCGTGACAGAAAGCTGCCCCAAAAATGATGTTAAAATCATTCTTGGTGACTTTAACGCACAAGTTGGTAAGGAGGTGGCACTCATGCCTACCATAGGAACCCACAGCTTGCATGAGACCAGTAATGATAATGGGCTACGGATGGTGAACTTTGCTACATTGCACGGACTGGTTGTTGGAACAACTCTTTTTCCTCGAAAGAATATCCACAAAGCAACATGGATCTCTCCAAATGGGCAAACAGCATCACAGATAGACCATGTACTCATTAGTGCCCGTCACAAGTCCAACATGATAAATGCAAGATCTTATAGAGGTGCAAATATGGACACGGATCACTATTTGAGCATTGCCGAGGTCAGATCACGAATTTCGCTGATTAAAAACCACTACCAACGACCAAAGAAGAAGATTGATGTGGTTAAACTTAAGGACTCAGACCACCAATATTCGTATCAACAAGCTGTGGAGACGAAACTTAACGAAGAAGTAATTAATGACAGCTCTATGGTCGATGAACAGTGGAAGAGATGCAGCAACACAATGAAACAGGCAGCAGAAGAAGCTCTTGGCTACGAGACTAAATCTAGAAGGCCCCCATGGTTTGATGCTGAGTGCCTTCAAGCAGTAAAAGTGAAAAATGAAGCCTACAGAAAGAAGGTTCAGCGTCCCACAAGGCTCTCCCAAGAAACATATAGAAGAAAAAGACGCGAAGAGAAGAGATTATTCCGCGGAAAGAGAAGAGCTT